CTAAATGGTGGCACAGTAAGATGTGACATATCCTGAAGTTAAAGCGCCAAATAATAAACGTTATAATATGGAATATGTTTATGTTTTCATTTTCCTCTCAATAAGTGTTTAGTTGAACTCCGAATAACCACCACATTTTTGAAATCGTTATGTTTTTAGATTTCCCATTCCCATCATTTGTTGGCCTGTTTACTTAATTGAAGTAACATTTTAGATATTTGTTTGAATCATTATTCAAGTCTACACCACTAATTTGAGCAGACGCTGTGACACTGAGAGCAAGACGAGGATACAAGATCCTCTACTGAAATTCTCCACTAAGCCCTGCTGATTTTGTATGTATGTGTTTATGTGTGAGTTTGCGGGTGGTGGGATTGATCATTCCGAAAGGGCAGAAGTCACAATTTATCCTGAATCCTCTTTCAAAAGCCCGTCACTCCCAGTCATCTTGTTGTTGTTACATAACACTGATGTCCAGCAGTGAACTTACAATAACCGAGGGAAGTGTGTATTTAAAAGTCTGGGCGCATACTTGTGTTGGTTATGTAACATATTTACAGGGCCAAAATGCCATCCCCAGCCCAAACGCATGTATATTTATATACACACACACACTTTGCTGACGTTATACAGAGCCTCTTTTCCATGAAAGGAATTTCTTAGTGTCTGTCCGAGGTCATAACACAGACCTGGACGCATGTTATCACAGCAGCTGAACTGTGAAAGTACAGACTGTCATCAGCCAGTGGTGACACAAGTAGGTTTGTCAGATAGAAAAGCAGCAGGTGGAGCCACAGAGATAATGTGTAGCCTTCTTTCCATTGCCATGTACACGCCAGACATCCATCCTCAAGCACCGAGAAATTATGCACTGTAAAAAGAGAATTTTGAAATGACCTCAACCCTGCAAAATATCCTAATGATTCCATCAAGCGCATTGCATGTCAAGCTGGTCATTTTGGTATCCAAAGATACCGAATATATCAGGGTGAATATTTAGAACATTTATTAAAATGTGGATTTTTGGTTTGAATATTTATTCAGATTTCACAAGTGTATATTTGTAATCGCACATCGGTGTGTTGCAACTGATCTGGTTGCCTTTATTAATATCCATTAGTGTAATTGTTCTTTTGTATGCTTTTGTACAGTCATAGTCTAATATAATCACTGTTGTAAGGCTTTATCTTGTGAGACTAAGTGGTCATTGTGTGTTCAAGTGAAATAATGATTTCAGATGTAAAGAAAGATAGAATACATCACAAGATGGTTAGAAGTTATCAATGTTTGCTTAAATTAAAGTGGAAAAAAAAGTAGTGTGACACTTGACCTTAAAAGGCATTATAATGTTTAATGTGTTTTTATTATTGTTGCAAAGCATTACAAATATATATGAGTGTATTAAACTATGATCAAACATTGATATCGGCAGATTGTAGCACATTATGCCTTATAGATGTCGAAAGTGCTCCCTCCTTTTGCTATCCCGTTCAGTGAAACCCGCTGGGGGTGAACTTGGAGAACTATAGGCTTAACAAGTTGTCGGGGACCATTTCAATGCAATTATTTTTGGTCTCAGTGTGTGGGGCGAGTCATCTCGATGGTATGGTGAAGCCTTTGTGGTCAGGGATGCCATTTGAAGGGGAAACCCTGGATGATTCAGGGACCCCAGAGTTGGACTAGGGCCCTCGAACATGCCACAGATCAGAGAGCCGTCACTGAGCTATGGTCAGGTGGCCCTACATTTCTAGTTTATGACCAGGCTCAGCTAGTAGTCTGTCTTATTTAAGGAAGGCTTGCAGGTTCAGCTCATGAGCCTCTAAAAGATAGTTAAGATGTTTTGAAGTGGTCCGGTATGAAGTACTTATTCATAGCCAGTCTACTATCTACTGTAGATGGCAGTAGGCATGCAAAACATATTTAAGTCGCATACAAAAATGCCCTCCAAATACACACAATATATGTTTGAATGTTTGCAATATTTTGACAATGTTTTACGGTTTTACTTTGATGCGAGACAGCTATTCAGACTACTATCTCTGCGACGGCAAGCTAAAGAGGATATTGATGCTCTCGCCAAAGCCCCCAGACAAAAATAACTGTTTTTTTTAATGGTGTCTGGTGGCTTTGGTGAGAGAATAGATATGACGGCTTCAGTTCCACATTATAAAAGACTGCAAGGTGAAACTATTCTAAATATATCGTACATGTAAATATGTTTTGTAGGCCTACAGTACATTGCCTGGTTTCTGTGAACAACTATACTAGACATTTGAACTATCCCTTTAAGGTATTTAAAGTTTACAATCCCATGCAATGAATCACATTTAGGCCACAGTAACCATACTGTATGAGTGAATATAAATGATTGAAGACTTTAATAGACTGCCTGTCATTGTATGATACTTTTGTTGGAATCGATGTAGTGACATAATGGAAGCCAACTCTATTTCTGGAAAGCTTGTATGTTACTAAGTGCAGTAAAGAAAGTCTCAAATATGGAAATACATTGCAACTCTTTGAAAAATGTGTACTTTAAGGAGTAACTTTACTGTATTTTCCTGTACTGAACTTAGCCTACAGTACCACTTTCACCACAACAGAAGCCATTAGCCTGATTCACAGTCTATTATTGCACTATTGGCTAAAGCTTGTTGCATTCATGTTGTTCGGGTCATTGCACTGGAGTGATATTGGATTACTGGTCAGTCTGCACTAGAATAAGCTTTATGTATTGTCTGTGTCTTCCTGCTGAGTAACTTTATATGTAGTGAGAGGGCGAGGCTGCGTCATTCTCATTCCTAAACAGTGCTTCTATACCACGATGGCTCTCATTTTACCATGTAACCTTTTATGACTTTGGATTTCAGAGATTGTCCAACAGGGTACAGTTCTTTGTCCCCCCGGAGCAGCTCTACTTCTCAGTCCTTTCGTGTTGGGCTGAAGGCAGCTGAAGCTACAGTTACCAACGATCACCTTTCTAGGTTAACGTGGAATAAGACAGGATGGGCAGTGGCTAGCTAGCACCCTAGCATGCTCATTTCAGTAGATAGCTCATATTCTAGAGTGGTTAACGTTTTTTTCTACATAAAATACGTCAGTAAATACCCCACCTGTGAATGTCTATGTGTGAAAAAAAACACAGTTGCTAACAAGAGACTGCAGTGACATTAAGCCTTCTTTAGTTTAGCGGTGTTGATGTGAAGATGTAACGTTAGCTTTATACTTATGGCAATGGCATTTACTACAATAATAAAGGTGGTGGTATGAGGTGCTATAATCCAAAATCCAATGGAAAAATCCCACTGACTCTTTGTTGATGGAGCCCTATTATTGAAAGGTTTAGTGACCACCAACAGATTCAACTTGGTTGTTCAGAAACCTATGGGTGACTGTGCATATTTTATACAGTCCTAGATAAAGGCTATTAACTGTTTACTGATTTTTGTCAAGACATGTCCCTGTTCCGTTTAATGCTTTGTTTTACGCCAAATCTAGGTGGGGTGGCCCTTTTAAATTCTTGGATATCTAAGAGTTGCAGTGCTGTATGTCAAGCTCAGACAAACAAAGTTGTATGCATTTTGAAATGCTAAGTTAATGTAAAACTCTTAGGAATCAGTGATCTCCTTTTTTTATTCAGTATATTTCCACAGAATGTACTGTACTCTCTGCAGTTGTCCTCTTTCCTTCTCACCTTAGCTGGTAAATAGGCAGTGGGGATACGAGTGTTGGACCTGGCAGCTGAGGAGCTGTCTGTACTGGGAACAGTGCAGGGGACAGGCTATAGGTCAGGTTTTTCCGGTGCTGACAGATGGAGGCCAGTATATAGGCGCCGGCGCTTTGTCACCCTGCCCACTCCAGATATCACTGTACTGTGCCGTGTCACAGTTTGAGGTCAATGTGCGCACTCAGACACGTCTCAATAAGCGTCAGTCATTCGTGAATATGAACTTCCGTTTCCATGTGTATCTGTGTCAGTTTAACCCTTTTTAATACTCAGCAACAACACGTGCAGTTGGTTTCCTGTCCCACAATACCCTTCTCCACTGTATAAACAGTTCTAAGGTGTCAGGGGGATCACCTGTTTCCTGTTTTCTTCTGTTGTCTTGTCCCTCACTTTGCACGGACAGTGGATCTATTTTGGGAACAGCAGGCTCTTGCGGACTAAAAAAACATACCTATACCTTTTTTGCAACTTTTATTTTTGAAATGTTTGATGTGAGAGTATTTAGTTTCAGATTCATAGAGCCATTTTTTTTCTTTTCACAAAAAAATATTTTGCATGATAACATTTTGGATAGAATTAATGCATTATGTTTTCTTAAATAGCTTTTATTGATTAATTTTTTTCAGAAAGTCTTGACCTTGGGAATTTGTGGCGTTTATGTAAAGTTCTGCTGAGACATGAACAAATCAGTTGTGAGAAGTGTGTGGTATTTGACGAGGTTCAAAAATACACACAATGCTTGCGTCCGTACCAGAGGTCCAAGTGGTTAATAACGTTTTTGGCACCTTGCACACGCTAGCACCTGTCATCCCAACTTCCTATAATAGAACAATGTGAAAATCATATAACCCAAATACAGAATCTGAAAACAAAAATCCTCGTTTTACGCCATATACTGTATCAACGGACGTTTACATCTACTGAAAATAGTGTACGAGTTCTTTATCCACAATCAGAGTTGGGATGTTCTTCTTCTCTGTCTTTATTGGCTGTAGGTTTTATTTGTTTGTCTTACTTTTTACGGCGTCATATTTCAGTCCCGGATTCTTCGAATTCTGTCACCTGACTGAAGGGCTTTTTAAGTGTCTCAAATGTCACATAGCTTTCCCCTCCAGCATCTCCCCTTAACCCTCATCAATCCCCAACTGCACACCAGAGCCCTCAGCTCTTATCACTGGCCACTCACTCCCTGACGTCCACGGGGGGCTGCGCTTTAATTTGGAGGACAGTCATTTGCTATTCTTAAAACTCAACTCAACTCACAGTGTTGAGGGGAGAGATCTCTGTTCCCCTCGGCTCTTCTGTTGGTGTTCCTTAGCTGTTAATATGTTTTTTGCCGTCGTTTCCACCGAACCTGCGTGACAGTGAATGGACTGAGTGAAACCATTTTCTGCTTGTGAGGAGATCTACTGTTCAGTCATGAGCTCCAGCCTTGTCAACTCTTTGGCCAAAGTCTACGATCGGAATCCACTTCACGCTCAGAAGCCTGGTGGAAGGAAGCTCTCACTCAATGGATCAGACAAGGCCCAAGCGTCTCCATCACCACCTTCCTCGCCTCAGGATGCCGCCTTGCGCTGTGTGGAGAGCAGAATGGACTCTTTGAGCTCTCAGATGGAGCGCTTGCTCAACATGCAGCAGACCGTCCTGACCCGGCTGGACGGCTTGTCCCAAGACGTCAGGGGCATGGGTCAGGATCTGGCCTCGATGCGTGGGGATGGCCGCGGGGAGAGACGTGAATCTGGGGTGGAGGCGGCCTGCCGAGAGCTGTGCGAGGCCATGGAGAGGGCCAGCGAGCGGATGGACAGTCAGGGACGCAGGCTGGATGGGGTGGAGAGGCTGGTGGAGGGCACCCAGCAGGTGATCAGCTACATTGGGGAGGTTGTGAAGAGCTCCAGGCTGGTGGAGCTGCTGTTTAAACAGCCTGGGAAGAAGGCGATGAAGAAGGTGAGAGATTTAACATTAGAAGTGAGGTTTTCCTGCCTCAAAGTCAAATTATTTTCCATCATCTCAATCACTTTGTGGCATTGCATTGTTCTAATTGTGCTTCTATTACTGTGTGTTGTGTCAAGACAGGCAACATAGTGAGAGGTCTAATTGCATTGCGGTCATGGCGTCGGACGCATTATGTGCTGTCCAAAAGGTTGCAAATCCTCTTGATGGAATATGTGACCCGTTCACAGTCACATAATAAATAGCTGGCTCTAAAAGTCAAAGTCAACTTCATTGTCAATCTTCTGTGTTTGAGACACAGACAGGGAGATCTGTTTCTCACAATCCAGAGGAATACAAGTTAAAATATCTAAAAAATACCTATATAATCAAACATAGACACATATATACAAATTCCCACATTAAGAGGCATCAATAAAACATAAAAATATAAAGGCACAGCAGTCAATATATACAAAATAAGAGTCACTAAGAAACGGATGAAGATGAATATATTACAGTAAAGTATATCTACACTAATGAAAATGATTCTCCATAGCAGCATAGTTAAAGTGTCTGAGTTTGTACTACCTATCTTTTAACCGTTTTCTGTATTCCTTCCATGCATTTAAAGCTGCTTCTCATTCTCTATACCTCATGATATTGCTCTTTGTATCTATTATTAGCTCTGCAGTAATTCGACATGTTGTCCTCTGTAATGTAAAGTATTTTTTCTTCGTTGAGTGATTGTCATTTGCTTCTGGGGTGTAAATGATTAGATCCAGACTGGTTATCTTATCCATGTCTTTATCAGCAGTGTGTTTGACTGCAGCTGCACAGGCTCAGTTTACCTTCGGTCTGCAGTACATAATGTTTTTACTTTTATTAAATCTTTGTAATATTAATATTGTGCCAAGCAGTGTTGCACAGCTTTTACTACCCTGTCTTCAAACAAATATTTGTATGATTTCTGCAGTGGTAGAATGTAAGAGAGTTCATTTACTTAATTTGTAGGGTACTTGTACTTCACCTTTTTTCATTGTATGCTACTAACTAAACTTTGAAAGCCAATATTGTACTTTTTCCTGCAGTACATTAATTTGACAGTATTTTTACAGTTTTATATTTTTAGCTAATACAAAATATAAATCAACAAATAAATAAACATATAGAAAGTAATTATAGGTTAAGATATTGAGCAGCAGTTTATGAACTTATTCAACTGAACTCCGATTCTAACTGCTGTGATGAAGACGTGCATCAAAATCATAATCCAGTATTTTTTTAATATGTATGATTCTGAAATGGGCCAGTACTTTCACTTTTGGTACTATAAGTATATTTTAATCCCAATTATTTTGTATTTTTACTTTTTGTACTTCATTCTATAATTAAGTATTGCTGCTTTTACTCAAGTGAACGTTCTGAGTACTTGTTCCACCACTGTTTAAATTACATATATTCTTCCATAATTGTGCCACTTCAGAGGTTGTTTTTAGGAGTTAGTTTGTGGTTAAGCATGATTTATTAAACAGTAAGACATATTAATAAAAGAGAAACCATAGCATGGATCATCTGAACGACATTCTGTAAAGTGTTCCTGATTGAACATAAATGTGTATTAATAGTGCATTTGTTTATTAAGCACTCTTTGTGTGGGAAAGTGAATGAAATATATCCCAGTGTTGTACAGTATGCGATACATGTGACCTTTCTTCTTTGTCCTGGAGGAGGCCTCTGTGCCACAACACATTACACCTGAGTTACAGGGGCAACTGTAGCAACAGGGAGAAACACTTTGTGCTTACTATGCTAATATAAACACGTATATGACCACGCTGTTCCCTTCAGGAATCAAACTCGGAATCTTTGACATGTAAATAAGAAATGCTGCATAGCACACGCCAGGGTTTAAACCGGCTCGAGATCGCTAGAATTTGAAAATACACAACCGGAGAAAATCTGCCACTTCCTTATAGAGCCCCTCCTCCAACACACACGAACGCGCACATGACCAATGAGGGCACGAGATAAGTTTGTGCACAGATGGAAGGCTGACAGGCAGGTAGGCCATCCAGTTATTTTAGCCGGGCCGGCTAAAATGATTGGTCGTGCTTTTTACAGTATTACGGCTTCCACAGATGAAATTTTTTATGGATTTTTTGTCAAAGCACTTAAGATATTCATTGCTATCGGGATGTTAAGAGCATTCCATGGAATATAACAAAAAGTGTATCTCAAGCCGGTTTCTCAAACTTACCTACCCTACCTTTAATCTTTGTTTCTCCCTTTTACCAAAGGATGACAAGGAAAAAGCCAAACTGAGCCTGAAGGGTTCGAAGGCCCAGAAGAAGAGGAGACCTGCCGACCCATCAGGTAGCCTCAAACAGGAAATAACTGCACCTCAAATCACCTGAGTTTATATTGAGACGTGCTTTTGTCCACTATCAGCTGAAATATATGGACTAGCTCAACATATATTGTATTTTGAAGGCTAACATTGATATTTTGGTGTTTTAAAATATGATGATTTATGTTTTTCTTTTACAAAAACACATGTTTTAAAGAAATACTTCACCCAAAAACATTATTTTTCTGGCTTGCGACCAAGTTGAAGGAAGAACCAAAATGTAAACATGTTTTTTGATGGAATGAAGCACAACAGGACACATTTAACCTGGATTTAACTGATTGTTTGCAAGTTGTAAACAAATGTTTCAATATAGTCTTTTGATTCTTTGTTCCTCGGAGAGGCCTGGGAGGAATAAAACCATTTTTAAAGAATTCAAGGTAACATGGGCTGAATAATTGATATGCAGATGGCTGATGCATTCACTTAAACCAACACTCTTGATAAATATATTTCTTAGAGTAGATGATGTATTTACTTTTACCAAAATGGTGGCACACTATGTGAAAATCACCTTCTAGTGGACAAGGTATGCAATGGTGATGCTTTTTCTGAATAACCTAGGAACCGAGTTTGGCATTTTTAATTGACCATTTATCAAGCCACTAGCAAGCTTAAAAATATATAAAATATAATATATACTAGTGTGCATTATAAGTCAACTTGATAAATTCAAGTGTTGTGTATTTTTGCTTTGAAAACAGTTTGGAAGTTTCAATGTCACAGCATTTAAGACATTTGTAAAAAATGTTATTTGGTTTGTTTATTCCCACAAAGAAACGTCCTCCTTCAATGAGCCGGTGCTGCAGGAACAGTTGGAAAAGCTCAACAGGCAGAACACTGAGCATTCCCATGGAAAAGCAGAGGCCGACAACCAGAGGGGGGAGGGGGGAGGAAGTGGAGGGAAAAGACAGGAGTCGGCAGAGCTGATCCTGAACGGACAATTCACCGCTGAGGCCGAGTCAGAGGACAGGAAGAAGGGCACACACTGGAAAGAGGAGGGGGGGGATCTCTTCCAGGACTCAGAATCAGATGAAGTGGAGGAAAAAGTAGAAGATATTAGTCCAGAACAGACTGTGGAGGATGATGGGAATAAAAAGCATATAGGAGAGGCAGAAGAGTCATCAACATTGGATAAAGCCCCTCTCTCACCACAGGAAAGGTATTTTTACTAGACAATACAATTTCAGAGTTATAATGAATAATAATAATAATGCATCACATTTTTAATTAGAGTGCTTTTGCAGGTGCTCAAAGCGCTTTTACAATTACACATTACACATACAGTATTAGACATGTAAGAGTCATTACTGTGGACATTACCCACAGGAGCAAATTCGGGTGAAGTGTCTTGCCCAAGGACACAACGGCCTGACGCAGTGGGGGCCGAGGCGGGTTTCGAACTAGAGTTCACCAACGCCCCTTGATCTGATGATCGTTATGATTATTAGTTAGTTTAGTTAGTCATTATTAGTTATGATTTAATTTAAGTCACAGGACAAGATCTGTCAATATTGTGTTAATTATATGTCGTTATTATTTGAATGTATACATGTCAAAGGAGTAACGTTAGAGTAAATCATTTGGGTGTGGGAGGGTGGGAGAATCAAAATTGAAACAGTTTCTTCATGTGTAGCTCTGAGGAGGTCAGCGATGTGGCCACTTGCAGCAAACGTCGTGTCACTGAAGAAGACCTGGTGAAGGACGACCTCAAAAAAAGCAGAGTGGAAGATGAGGAAGGGAAAAATGCTGAGGTGGCAGAGGAAGGAGCGGCTCAAGCCTCCAAATCTGAAGAAGTAAAAACTGAGGTGGAAGAGGAGGGGGAGGAGGGAGAGTCAGCAGAGAAGGAATTTCTTCTTGGTGAGACATTGTGTTTATACAATGCATGACTGCAAAATAATCCAAGAAAATAAGAGAATACTTTAGAATATGGGGGTTTAGCTACTTTTGATAATGTGTGATATATGATTTATTTCCCATAATAAGAAAAATAACTTTTAAACAAAGGGGCCCGTTATGCTTTTATGGGTTTCCCTGCCCTGTACTGGGTTTATAGGTATTTGTGTATGTAAATGTTTTGCAAAGTCTTAAATCACAAAGTTCACGACACAAACGCCTCAATTACACTCCCTTGTTTTCTTTCATAACATAATGACATCACTACGTAACACTCGTGCTTCTATTGGCTAGCGCTCCAACACATTGTACGTGATAGGCTAAGGGGTGGTTCATCTCTAATTGGTTGACCAATCACAACATAGCTGTCCAGCTAACCAATCTGCGCAGACTGGGCTCTGGTTTCAGACAGAGGGTGAAAAGAGGTGCTGCAGGACAGGTAGTATGTGAAAAATAAAGAGTTTTTGAACATTAAATCATGGAAACATGTCTCAAATAATACAAATATGAAACCTGAAAATGTACCTAAAAGGGCCCCTTTAATTGTACTTTACTGCATGTCATCCCCTGTCTCTCCTAATGTTCTAGTCTTTCTTAATCAAGACAAAAACTTAAAAAATACCCTGAAAAAGAATGCAATGCAATAGCAACCTTAGTATTCCCTGCTTTTGGTACTGTTTAAAATGGATTTGTGCCATATTCATGTGCTGCAGGCTCTCCATGTAGATCCAGTTTGGTTGTTAGTTGGTGACATTTAACTTTTCGTGCTTCAGACTTTGAAGCAGATCCAGTGTCATAACACCATGGCTGTTTGAGCGTCACTAACATGTGAGCCGGCACAGCTGGCAGAGCAGATAATGAGACATTGGCATGCTGCTATTTTGATCCACTTTGTTTCTGGGCCCTCTTACCTCAGACTCTGTTTTCAGCAAAGCAAGTTCTATTATTTATTTAATCTTAATTTCTTTATCGTTTCTCCAGACGTAAGCCCTCCACCGCAAGCACCTTTCGACCATCGCATTGTGACTCCCAAACCCCACCAGATATCCTCCTATTACACCATCAACAGAGACGAGGTCCTGGGAGGGTGAGTACCACCAGATACCCTCAAGAGTTTGTTTTCATATCGCTCGGTTACAGCGCCCCCTCTAATGAAATAACACAGGACCTCACAGCCTGGGAGAGGGGACGCCCTAATAGTTTTTTTATTTTAGAAACCTTTTTATTGCCACTCCCAAAGGGAATTACATGAGGGGGCACTTGCGAAAAAGCGGGCCCCTCTGATGTATAGACTAGTGCTAAATCCTGCCTCTCAAGATAGAGATTAGCCCTCAGCACGCGAGAACATTTTTCACATTACTGACATATTGGCACAGTACATAGCCCTAATTACTGTATGGGTGAAGAAGCCAGTATGATAATTACATATCATTTTATAATGTCAATTTATCTGAGTAGCTTCTAGAATTAGTCGATTCTTTTTTGGAAAAAACGAATTAAAAAAACTAATTCCAAGAGCACAAACTTTCCCCCCCCCCCCCCCCCCCCCCCCTCCCTCCACCAACAGTCCAAAATAGACAAATTTACAATTATATAAAACTTAAATTGTTCTGCATGAGATGCTGAAACTAGCAATAAAATTTGAATTTGATAATGATAAATAACTAAATAATTACTGTTAGAAAAATCTCATTCGTCACTGGCTTTAGTTCCAATATCAGGATACATGAATTTATTTATCCTTGCAAGAATGGAAGTAATCATCACATACGGTACATATGGTACAACTAGTTCCCCGAACAGTGTCCTTCACATGCTTATACACAAGAGAGTGTTACAGTCACAAGATGCAGAATACCGGTCCAAAGCAGTATTCTTTGCTTAGTTCAGATTAGCTAAGGCCTGCGTAAACAATAAACATGACAGTCATATGTCTATCTCTAATCATCATGTTAATCGTTGTCACATATCATATGCCTAAAACAGTGTGTCCTGATGCTTTTCTAGGTAATCATACATCCTGTTACGTACCAACTTGCACGTACACAGCTACAGTTGGTTATCATGTGCTACTCTGATATAGAAAGAGTACATTCAGTATTTTCCCAACAGTTACAAACACAACATTTAAACAGTTGTTTCTGTTGATGTTGATTTTATCAGCACCAGATTAAGTGATGTTTTAGAAATCCCAAATATCTTGTTTTTGGACCTAGGCTAGGATAATTTATAATGATTTATCTTCTCATACTCTGTATCTTGTATTTATGTATTTGACCCCTCTCTGTGTTTCTCTATCAGGGGACGTTTTGGGCAAGTCCACAAGTGCATAGAAAACTCGTCCAATCTGATGTTGGCTGCCAAGATCATTAAAGCCAGGAGCCAGAAAGAAAAGGTGCAGTAATAAGCAATTCAAGCTAAATACGTATCATTGCTAAGGATCATAAAGGATTACATTTTAAAAATAGATTCAGCTCAAAAACCCAGAGTGTGTGGACATGAGAATTTGTCAGCCTCTTTGTTCCTTTTGTAGGTTGTCACATACAAAGAATGTTTTGTTGTTTTGTTGGTGCATGTAAATATATAAAAGCAACCTCTGCAAAACAGTTTAAAAAAAATGGTTACAATACAAAATAAGATATGCACGTTTTACAGTATCTGTTTTACATTTATTTTGCTGATCCTTTTACCCAAATAGACAATAAGTGCATTAAACTACATGGGTACAACCAAACAGTTGAATGGATTATGCATGTTGTACATTATCTTCATCAAATACGCTTTACTGGCTAGGTGCCACATTTACAAACATGTGACATTTTTATTCGCTTTTTAATGGAAAGCATTTTCTGTAAAGCAGCTGCAATAAGTCTTTGCTTAATAAATTGCTTACACAATGATATATTACATTACAGGTCTGTCATATTTTTGACAGAGCAAACAACTTCCTCTTACATGCAACCTTAGAATCTTGACTTGCAGACATTTGCCGTTAATGAACTTCGATACATTTTGCCAGTATAACAGTCTGAGATTCTGATGACTGAGTCTTCTGTCTGTCTGTCTCTCAGGACGTGGTGAGGAATGAGATCCAGGTGATGAACCAGCTGAACCACCCCAACCTCATCCAGCTGTACGCCGCCTTCGAGTCGCGCCATGACATCATCCTGGTGATGGAATAGTAAGTCAGGGTTCCTATGTCGGTACTCAGTATGTACCCTCATATGTTTTCCAAGATCTTCCTTGCTGTAATGTGTCTGCGCTTCTCTTTGTGCCGCAGTGTGGAGGGAGGGGAACTGTTTGACCGCATCATCGATGAGAACTACAACCTGACAGAGCTGGACACGGTGCTGTTCATACGCCAGATCTGTGAAGGCCTGCAGTACATGCACAAGATGTACATCCTGCATCTTGACCTCAAGGTAAACCCTGCTTCAAATTAGAATCTTAAATTCTCTCATTAAGAAATATCTTATGTTGCTGTCATATTGATGTTTACTTTTTTCCAATCCAAACACAAGTCAAATATTGTATTCCATAGCTTATAATCTGTTGGTTTGAGTCTCTTTCTCACTTTTTAGTTAATTTAAGTTGAAGATGCTTAAAGCACTATTTCTTTTGGAGTTATAATCCACATAGGGAAGGATTTGTCTGAAAAGCAGTATCAAATTTAAACAATTGTATTTGTTTTATATTCTGTTTTTATAATCCTTCTTTTTTGTTACTTTTCAGCCAGAAAACATTCTTTGTGTCAGCAGAGCTACTAACAAGATTAAAATCATTGACTTTGGCCTGGCCAGGAGGTAAAATCATCATTATGTATACCGTAGTTCAAATGTTATTGATTCTCTCAGACTCTTATATGTCTGCTTGTGTTTCTCTGACAGGTATAAACCCAGAGAGAAGCTGAGGGTCAACTTTGGAACACCTGAGTTTTTAGCTCCTGAAGTCATCAACTATGAGTTTGTCTCATTCCCCACAGACATGTGGAGCCTGGGCGTCATTATGTACATGCTGTGAGTTATGGGATGCTCATTCACATAGATGTATATTTGCACGTATAGATTTAAAGGAACAGAGTAGCATCCCTGATCTCTTTCCTCTTGTTCCAGGCTCAGTGGGCTGTCTCCGTTTCTGGGAGACGATGACAACGAGACGCTGAACAACATCCTGGCCTGTCAGTGGAACTTTGAGGAGGAGGAGTTCAAGGACATCTCCGACGAAGCAAAAGACTTCATCACACTTCTGCTGGTGAAGAGCAAGAGCTGGAGGATGAGCGCAGCGGAGTCCCTCAGACACCCCTGGCTGTCAGACAGAAGTCTGCACTATCGACTAGATCAGAAGGTAATGAACCACGCTGAGTATTTAGCACCGCCTGAATGCACAAACAAATATATTTGTCCAATCAAAGCTCTTGTTTCTCCTCTTCGGGTTAATTCTTAGGTGGCACAATGCTTGTTTAAGCTGTATCTAAATTTAAAGCAGTCGTGAAGTCTGAACTGTAAAGCCACAAATAATTATGAGATTCAATATGATAGGCACAAACATTTGCTTCTTTAAAATGTACACCTTATACATTTGAATTTGTTTGATATTATTGTGAGGGACACTTTAGTCAGTAGGTCAGGAAATTAATAAAGTAAGGGATAGTGACATTGATCCAATTTAAATGTTTATTGTCAAAACATATACAAACTTACGGTGTAAAAATGGTGTGATGCCTGACTCCTAAACCCTAAAGCCACTAGGATAACTCTGACATTTTATTTAACGGGGCCCTGTTATGTTCATTTTCAGGATCATATTTGTAATTTTAGCCTCTACTATGACATGTTTCTATGCTTTAATGTGCAGCACCTCTTTTCACCCTCTGTCTGCAACCAGAGCCGAGACTGCTCTGATGGGTTAATTTGTCAGCTCTGTTGTGATTGGTCAACCAATTAGAGATTTTCCGCCCCTTAGACTATCACATACAATATGTTGGAGTGCTAGCCAATAGAGTGTTACGCAGAGATGTCACTGTTACAGAAGTAAACAAAGGAGTCCAATGGAGGCGTTTCAGGCAGGGGGGAGTGTGTGGAAAAGAAACTCCTTCTGGAGGGTACTTTGGGATTTTAGCCTTTGCAGACCATTTACATGCACAAAAACATAATAATAATAATATAGGGCCCCTTTAAAAGGGAAATAATATGAAAAATTATATTTGACAGTGCTTGTGCACATACATTCATGTACTAACCAGGGGTTGGATTGAAGCGTTGGCTAAATGAAATGTAATGTAATGTAAAAAGAGACAGGCGCTTGGCAGATCACAGTGACAGTTTGTAAAATGAACACAAACAAGTTTTCATACAGGTATTTTATGCAATGCACTAATTCATAGGATCCTCTTTCATTGCAGAAAAACAAGTGCCACTCCACACACGCCCCTTCTCCAGAGAACCAGACAGGTGAGATTAATACATTCCTAATAGCTTGTACTGTAAATAACGTTTTCTTTTTACATTCTGGCTACTATAATCTTCAAACCTACATTTATTTTCTCCATTTCCCTCCCAGAAACACTGTGAGGCCTTCAGCATGCCTTGTAGAGCCCTGGAGCTCAACACTGGACCAATGCTGCTGTACCTGTATGGCTACTGGATAACTACTCTCACATCCTCCTGTCAGCTTAGCTTAGTTTAGCTTCGTTAGCTCTGATCTGAATAGTGTGAGGCCCATGCTTACTGTCCTGTAGAGCACCAACCTTCAGACTGACTCGGTGGTGTGTAGAACGACCCATATTGCAATGGTGAATCCATCATATTATACACAAAAGTCCTGAACAACTGTCACTTCTTCCACATCCACTGCAGTTGGAAAAGGTGAAGAAACACTGAAGAAAAGTAACTTAGCATCAAACAAGTTGTTCTCTCTCTGACAATGTACTGGTTTGTTGCATGCTTTGCACCTTTTGGCCTACTTCTTCAAGGTTTAGCAAACATTTTTAAATAAAATATAGACTGAATGCTTTAATATATTTTTGTGAATACAGATTTTTTTCTTTTTCTTTTCATTTACAAGTCTTATTGAAATGTGTTTATTTCTTGAACATAAGGTAGAGGTAGAACTTGGTTGAAGTTGAAGTCACACCACGTTAATTTATTATGTATATATCACAACACTGCATCCTCTCATTTCCCTGGAAAGTGAAGACATCTCAATGACTGAATTCGGTTTGGAGCCATATTCAGACTGCATTTCTGGTACATTTTCACTGTAGACTTGATTGCTTTCTTTATGCGTTCATGCCACTAGCTTGCCTTTGCTTGGGCAGTTTGGAGTAGCCCTCTCACCTTCCATGAAGGCACAACAGACAACAGAATACTACCTATGAATGATTCGTGTTTATGACTGAAGTGGATTTTTATGTTCATTTATTTACTGGTTCAAACGCCAGACTGTACTTGAGGTGCAAAGCTTTTCTTTTCAAGATGGGATTTATTTACAGGGAAGAAAAACAGGATTTCACGTAGTTCTGCACATGTATGCTCTGAATGTGTAAATGCACACTTCAGCTTGACGGACAGCCAACAACAGAGAGGACACCAGTCTGTATTTTATTGTCCTTTTATTTCTAATACATGGGAAGTTGGATTAATGTTGTTCACTCAGTTGTCGGTTGCTCCAAGTAGAAACTGAAAAGCTTTGTGATTTTGTTTATTTGAATTTATGATACCTTTTTCAAGTTTTCTTGTGTAATAATGAGATTATTAAATGTAGAATATAAATAAGCAAACAAATAAAGCACACCAGAAAACATTTGAAGTGTTTGTGAAAGTTAATTTCTTTGGAAATAAAATGTGAATATTGAAATTGTGTGACACTTGCATTGTAATTGTACTGAGTCATATATGAAAAATATGCCTGAAACGCCTCCATTATACTCCTTTGTTTACTTCTGTAACGTCACTACATAACACTTGCGCTTCTATTGGCTAGTGCTTCAACACATATAGCACTGATAGGCTAAGGGGTGGGACATCTCTGGTTTGAGACAGAGGGTGAAAAAATGGAGGCTTGTCTGGTGCCTTCCGCAAAGCAATAAATATTGGCAAAATGTTAGCATATCAGATATAGGCAACAAATAAATCATACATTTGATCAGTATCAATGGTTATTTGAAGTACTTATGAACAACTGCAAAGTTTGTCATCACTTCACAAGGTCAGCGGCTGAGATTCCAAACCTCTTCTAATAACTAAGATCCAACTATGCTCCCCTCAGTATCATTCACCTGGAACAACAAACACCTCTCAATGCACAGGGAGGGATTATTGCCTTGCTAGGGAGAGTAAAAGAGAGTGTAGGAAAGAGAAGATGACTAATGTAGTAGGTCAAAGTAGAGAAATCTTGGATAGGAAAATTAGGGCATCTTTCATCACCTGATATGTTATTTTATGATCTATTCAAGTCAGCTTTCCAACTGGCTTATAGTTCTGGTTTAACACTGTTCATTTAAGCCTACCTGTGGCATTTAACATTCAACAAAATACCAGATTACGGTCCAAAGATGATCTTGATTCATCAGCGTCAATCAGCATGTGAAGCAAGTGAGGGAGACAGGAGCGGAAGAGGAATTACGGCTCCAACCCAAATCAGTTTAGTTGACATACATCATTTTACAATCTCATCTCAATAAAATCTCTGACATCTTCATTTCAATCTCAGAAAAAATAGACAAAAGCTTTCTGTTCTCTAATTGGATAAATAATGGGATAGTAAGGGTATTCAAGCTTTTGAGAACAAACATACTGAGACTGAACATGGGCAGATAGGCGTATGAATCTTATTTTTATGATCCAGAAGAGACTATTCCCATCAGGATATAAATATTACATTAAAGTTACTAATACCTCTTTATCCAACACTCTGTACTGTAACAGAGCCTTCTCAGATCTGTACTTTCAAATCATTCTTTATTCATATGTTGAAGTTGATCCTATATTTATTCATGTGAATATACAGCACTGTCATCAGAGGTCAGGGACATGGAAACCAGCAGGTTGTGCCAGAGCTTAAGATAGCAAACAAAGCTACTCTTAGGTGTGTGAGTTTCACATTGACAACACTCTGCACAAAGAAAAAAGAAAGGAAGGCATTTTTCTTTGTGTTGCTACTGACCCCTCAGGGAAATGTACTTTTCTACAGTTTGTTAGTGGATTCAACGACTCTTAAGAAATAATAGATACATGCCAGGGGAGACCTTTATGAAGAACAAAAATGTAGCTACTGGGTTGATCTAACTCTCCATCTCCTATTATCTCAGAAGCGCTTAAAGCTACAAATATGTGTGCTCAACCTCAGAATGTGAAAGATGATACAACAGAGGAATATCTTGCATGAAAAGAGGCTAAAAGATAAACCATAGGCTTACCGTAACCAAAAGCTCACGACTGTGGCTAGCATGAACCTAAAGCAATGTTGTATCTTTATTGCTAATAGTTTAGCATTCTGTATGAGCTCACCACTTTGGTCTAGAAGCATGGGTTAGGGTTAGCAGAAAGCTAAGCTAAACTATTAGCAACATTTTCTTTCCATCTCTGCACTCTGCAAACACTTCACAGATATTGTAGCAGGCTAGAGTCTTGAGTTTGTCATTTTCAAAACACTTCTGTTCCTTCTGTGTGAGCTCACCACTTTGGTCTAGCAGCTGTCATGGATGTGATGATCTTTAAAGAACTGAATGCTATGATGTTGTATAAATAATAATATTCTGTAAGCCTTACATGTCAAAAGATAGTAGATCAATGTAGTTGAGATATCATCCCTCAGGTGGCTGACCAGTCACAGGGTGCCATGTGACCACAGAGAGGGTGACAATTGATCTGATCATGGGACTTTTGTCCTTTTAAAGTGTCATGGGTCAGTTATCTCATGACTAAGCATGTATTCATGAAACTTTATAAAAGCACACACTCAGCTGTAGAGACATTGCTTCATGTATGCTGTGTGCCTCTTTTGCAGGAGATGACTAAAGACTCTTTGACCAGTTCATTGCAAGGATTTCCACCACAAAGCAATGGCTAGGAGTTAGCAGAAGTCTAATCTAAACTATTAGCCTCAATTCTATACATCTGTGAAACCCTTTACAGATATTGTAGCAAAAGAGCCTTGAGTGTGTCATTTCAAAGAGCTTTTACGAGTTTACAAAAAAACAGAATGGGATCATAAATCAAATCAAATCAAATCCAGTTTTATTTATATAGCACATTTTTAAACGATTTTTGGTCGAGCCAAAGTGCTGTACATATAATAAAAATACCCTACAGTAAAGACACTTTACAGCAAATGCAACAGCACAGTTTGTTCAGAATATCAGTATGAGAAAAACGACACCCTCTGTCCTTAGACCCTCACATCGTACAAGGAAAAACTTCCAGAGAAAAAACCCACATTTCAAAGGGAAAAATGGGAGAAACCTCGGGGAGAGCAACAGAGGAGGGATCCCTCTCCCAGGACGGACAGACGTGCAATATATGCCATAATGTTTGAAAAGACTGACTAGCACTTGTACAGGTAAGGAGCGCCCATGCTCATCTGGAGGGGAGGACTTTGGAATAAAAGGGGATAGAGGGGTCCTATCAAGAAAGTTTCCCTTGATTTGCCAATGACCTTTCTTATCCATAACCATTTAAGGTCAATGCCAAACATTAACCATTGTGAACCATTTAGACACAACCAGAGAGAAAATAGCTACCAGGGATTTGATTTCAAAATCTGGCATTTCTTTTTTTCATTTTCCAGAAAACTGCCTATTCTTGGATACCACTTACTTACGATATTGGAAAAGTAATTGAACTTTTGCCCAATGAAAAAATATACTGCCTATCCCAGCTTTCACACTGCACTATGTAGTGTTCCCACACACAACACATGTGTGATGGATGAAGTTTTCTGCACAGCAGTGGACACACAGTGAGAGTCAAATACCTCGACGCACACAGCGAGACACCTGCCGTCCAAACAAAAGAAGAGAAGAAGAAGAGCCCCGAGCTGTAACAGAGCTGTGTGTTGTTCTCTTTTGATCAGGCGGGGTGGATGAGCAGACCGCTGTGCTTCTCAGGACCCGGGGCACTTGTTTTTATACGATCATGTTTACTTTAGACTGTAATGAAATCACACCTCCCATCACGCTGTGCACTCTGGGAAGTGGAGTAGTGGGAGAGGGCTTTCACAGCGCTACTGATGCTCTCAGCTGGAGCAGATGGTGTCATACATGCTCAAATGTACAAGAAAAATAAGAGATTAGGAGTTGTTCAGATTGGCTGATCGCTCCCGTTAAGATAATGTCTCAAGTGATGTGAAATGGATTCCTCTATCAAGGTCAATATATCAAGTACTGCTCCTAAAATTGTGTTTATTTTGGCTGTGTGACAGGTCAATTCTGTAACAAATGTAGCAGCTGAAACCCAGATGTTCCTCTTAAATTCCCTCTGAAATAAAGTTATAAAAACAACTTTCTCCACACTTTTCGAAGTATCCTATGTCATACAGTACAATCTGTGTCTTGTTCTTACCACTTTCTTGCAGTTTGCTTCACTGAAATGGCCAAGATGCTTTAGCATTGCAGAAAATTCAAAATATTTCTTTAAAAATACTTCTGAGTTTTAATCTGAGATTTGTGGTATTTCTAGAAAACCTGGGATATTTAACTCCTCTTGTACATGTTGCAGTAAGGCTTATAAACAGGAATCATTTTCACAAAGGGCTGTTATATCTCACACAGGCTCCGCCCTCTACTGGACTCTATGGGTACTACCTCTCAACCATACCATGCAAGCATTCACCAACTGAGATATCTATAAACGTAGCCGGCCCCCGGGGCGGGCCTACCTGAATGCGCGCGCAAGCACACTGTATAAAAGGCGGCCTCGCCTCCTGACCGTCATCCTTTTCTCTTCAGCGAGCAGGATAACAACTGAGAACGTAAACGAGAGAAAATAAAGAAAGTATTGTATCGAAGATGGACTCACCACTCCTTGAGCCCCGGCCCTGTCCTTCGTGCCCTGGCTTAATCGCGGGTGCTGATCCCCACCGCCTCTGCTTTGAGTGTCTGGGGCCTGACCACGCCGCAGACGGCCTGACCTAGTCTCCGGCATGCAATGCCTGTTGGATGCTCCCACGGCTCAGCCGCCGGCATCGTCTGGAGCATTTTCAGGCATATTATGTCTCGCCGGAGGAGGCGGAGGACCAAGATGTCGAAACAGGTGGAAATGGAGGAACAGGATGTCGCGGGAGAGGTACCATTCGTGTTCGCCATTCCGGAGGGTCGGGCGTCCCCGTTCGTCGAGGAGGAAGACGACGAGGACGCCTCGTTGTCTGGTGCTTCCGGTTCCGGCGTCCAGGAGGGTCCGCCACACAGGTCTGCACGTCAGGACTTCCCTGCGGTGATGACCATGGCAACAGAGCGTGTAGGGCTACCGCTCCCCCCGCCTCTGCCACCGAGGCCGATAAGCCGCCTTCGTCAGGGGAGCTACGGCCCGGTGCGTCCGGCGCAGCCGGCCTTCGTTTCGCCCCCGTTGCCAGATATCTGGCAGTGTGTGGAGGCACTGTGGCGGCAGCCACTCAGAACGAAGGCTCCAGTGGCAGGTACGTCGGGAATCCTAAGGGTGCAGGGCCGCTCGGACACGGAGTGTCCCGGCGTGTCCCCCCTTGATGAGAGCCTGGCGGCCCATCTGCCCCCGCTGTCTCGGGACAGAGATATCCTGGAATATTTGGATAAAATATTCCGGCTCGGAACGC